ATATCTTAAAAGAACTATCAATTGTGGTATTTGATTACTTTCTTGCACTACACGGAGCCCGGTAGACTATGTTGATGCTGATTGTGGTTGTTGTGTTTTCTTAAGTTCCAATCATGTTTTTTGTTATACCAAAAAAGTTTTTGTTGCTCAATCTAGTACTGAAATAGAGTATTTAGCTCTTTCTATAGCTTCTCTAGATATACTTTAGATTTCTTATATATTAAATGAGGTTGGATTTCCTCTTGCACTACTTTGTTTTGTATATTCTAATAATATTGGTGCTACTCAACTTGCTACCGATCTAATTTTTCATGCTCGACACAACATATAGAGACTTTTTATCACTTTGTTCGAAACCTTATTTGCAAACATTGTCTTGAAGTCCTTTTTGTTCGTTCTTAATCACAACTAGCTGATATATTTACCAAGGGACTTTCTTCTTCAAATTTTCATCCATTTAAGAACAAGCTCTTGTGAAGTTCTCCCCAATCACTTGAGGGGGCATATTAAAATATGTTGTCAATAATTGTACATTTAGTTATGTGTAAATATACTTATACTCTCTCATGATATAATTACACATGCCATAACCTTAAATAGTATAAGGTAGAACATTTGTTCTTTAAAAATTCATTTCACTAGTTAATTACTTTCTAACTAGACAACATTTGTTTCTTTTAATTAACTCATTTTCACTTATTATCACTCATTTATCAACCCTCTCTTTATCTATGACCAAGTTTTTTTATATAATAATTTCAGCATATGATGTTAATTTCCAAAAAATAAAAACAATGTAAAACATCATTAATTTAAAACTATAGCATAATGCTTATGAACATATACAATTATACATTTCAATATATGATCAATTATAAACATCATATAGAATGCAATTCTGATTAATTTCTTGAGATAGACATTTTAATATTTGAATATTCTCTATGCAGTATATGGAATGGGATAAGACCAATGACCAGTCTCCTATGCTGCCTCAACGTAGCAGTAAAAGCACCATAAGAAAAATGAGCGCTCCAAAACATCACAAAAAAGCTCCATTGATTGAATTAGATATTTTTAAAATGCTAGATTATAATGATATAATCTCTACAGCCTTGTTTGTAGCATATTTGTGTAGGTTACTAGTCATAAGCGTTCGTTACAAAAGGGTGATAAAAAAAGTACTATCAGAATATATCATATATATATAAAAAGTATGAACTTCAAAATAGTTAATAGTGATCCTAAATATCTCTCTAAATTTTTAAATTAATAAATTTATCCTTAGATATGTATAACTTTTATTAATTTATTCAAATTTAATTTAAATCAACTAAATTAAAAATAAAGTTTATGTGAAATTAAACTATTTAAAATTTTAATTCTAAAAATGGTAAAATGATGACCTAAAATATCTTTGGTAATGTTTTTATAAAATTTAATTTAAATGATTTTTTTATTATTAGACTCTTTTTTTATAATTAGACTAAAAAAGTGCTAAAATGATTAATTAAAATATCTTTAATAAAATTTTAATTTAAAAAAATATTAAAAGTGATTAATTAAAATACCATTAGTAATTTTTTATAAATTTTAATTTAAATAACCCTTTTAATATTACTCCTTTTTATAAGTAGAATAGATTTTCACATTATATAATCTAGGTGGTTGAAAGATCTAATGTAAATTATTCTAAGTAAAAAAGTTATCAAGTGAAATAAAATTATTTATTTTCAGTGAATTCTTTCAAGGTGACACAATTCATTGAAACTATTTTTTATATGTGTTAATTGCAAAATTACATTTATTTACGAAAATTTATATTGTTAATGTTGAAAATGAAATATTTATAAATTGTATAGGTTTATATAACAAGTTTAATATTATTATAATTAAGAAAACGTGACAAGTACCAAGATTAGGAATTTATTTTTTTTATTTTTTAAAATTATGTTGTTTAATATTATTAATAAAAATTTATGTCTAGTAAAAAAAATTAACCTTTCAATTGATAAAATGTATAATTACATTCAATTAATGAAAGCACCAATGAAAAATTATTCTAAGTAGAAAAATGAAATAAAAGATTGATTTATTATGCATAACTCTATCATCTTCATATGACAAAGAATGTTAGTGCTATATGATATTTCAATAAAAATATACAAATGAATTGATTTTAAATTTCTTTTGTATTAATATGAAATTCTTTTTATTTTGAGAAATATTATATACTTTCATTTATTTTCTCTTTTTATATCAATTGAAGAATGTTTGCCATTATATAAAAATTTTTGAGGTTGTCATGTTAGGTAATATTTGCTCAAAAAAAATTGAAATTCATCACATTAATTATCATTTTACATCAAAAATTTTTTTAAAAAAATTATTATAAGTTATAATTTAACTAAACTTAAAAGTGATTTAAAGTCATTTATTAGCAAAATTTATTTAATAAATTTTTATTTAATTGTATATTTAATATTTCAATCATTTTAAATTTTGATTTTTTATAATTTCAAGTTGTATTTTAAACTTGAAAGTAGCGATCTTTACTTATATACCTAAACAAATTTGACTTAATAATTTGTGCATGTTTCTCTTTGTTTAAAAAGATATATTAAAATTGTTTTAAATTTAAATAAAAAAGAAGTATACTGAATTACTTATAATTTCAATTTCACTTGAAAAATACTCTTAAAATTAATTAACTAATTCAAACACAAAGATAATAAAAAAAAAATCATTGAAGATGAAAGGAAAAAAACTTAAATAAAAATTTTTTAAATTGTTATAAAAAAATGAATAACTAATAATAGATTTTAATTGGGTTACTATTTCAATTCAGATTTTTGTTATATTTAGACAGTTCAGGTTTTAAATAACGACTAAATTGCTTATGTTTTAAAATTAATTAAAATAGAGTCAAGTTAGTTCATTTTTATAATTATGTGTCATATTATTTTTTAATTAAATTAAAATTTAAAATGAGAAAAAATTTAATTTATATTCAATTTGAGTTTTGAATTGTTTCTAATTTTAATTGATTAATCTATATTATTTTAACTATACTCTTAAAACACTGATAATAAATATCAAAATAAAATAAGAATATAACATAATGAAAATTTAAGTGCAAAAATAATGAAAATACTAATGATAATTTTAGAAGAAAATTCTTATACCTAAGTTTTGCAAAAATTAGATATTTATTTATTTATTTTGATGATTTTGAAATTCATATTGTAAAATTATTAATACAAGTCAAAAAGTTTATAATCGTTTTCAAACATTCAATTTGAAAGAGATAATATTATAGTTCGAACTCATTCATGCAGACAACATAAAGTTAAACATTTATTTTGTTGTTATGACCCTTTGTAATAATTTTTTACTCTTTCCAAATGGATAAGTTGATTAGTATTAAAATATTGAAAAAACTATTTTGAATAATGGTAATAAAAATGAAAAATCAATTAAAACTATACCATTTTTCCATTTAGTAGGAAAATTTTTTTTTCAAATAATGTCTTATATGACCCTTAAACTATTGCATGTTTTCTAATATGGTACTTAAACAAAATGAAAATCATAAACTTAAGCCACATTTCTGTGTGTTAATTTGTCCCAACCGTTAACATTATTAACCCTAAATGTTAACATGACATAAAAATCCAACAAAACGCTAACACGTGTTAAAAAATATTCAATCAACCTCACACCATCAATGTCATGTCAATATTCTAAGAAAAATTAAAAAAATATTCTAAAAGATCTTCTTTGCCAAGTCCCTCTCAAAAATTAAAGAGCCAATTTCCCAGTAAAAAAATTCAAAAACAAAAGTAAGAAATTTTCAATTAAGCAAGAAACAAAAACACCTTTAACACCAGACAATTGAAAAAACCTAGCAAAACCCACAATCTCAATAACAAAAAAAGCGAAACCCAAACTCAAAAATCAAGTCAACCCAAAGAAAGCTTTAGCATAGACAACCGAAAGCATTCAAGCAAAATCCCAGAGGCCAAATCAACAGCTCCAAACCAAGCAAAAACAGATTCACGAGTTAACACAGAGAAAACTCAAGCAACTCAATATCAAAACCCATAAATCTCATCAACCCCAGAACACCCACAAACAATCTAGCATCCTCAAACCCAAATCCTACATGCAACCAAGATATCCAGCACACCGTATCTGAACCTAACAGAAAACAACCACTATCCACACCCACTATCACAAAAAAGCAAAAGCACAAAAAAGGGGAAAGAGATTAAGGTTTCGACATTAAAATTTTAAGTTAAAATTGTAGGATTTGAGTTTTGTTCTTAGGAAAGACTTTGTGTTAGTGGCAGACCCTATCCAAAAAAGACAGTGAAAGTTGTAGTTTTCGAATTTTGTTTGTGGATTTTTGAAAGATTCTTTGAAAACCTGTTTAAAAGAGAAAGGCGAACAGTTTGAAAGGCCGCGGCTTTAACTCTAAATCTGGGACATTAGAGGCCAATTTGTGAAAATCGAAATCCAGATCTAGGATGAGAAGACCAAGAGGAAGTTCGTGGTAAAATTTGGGTGTCAACGAAAGTCGGTTGGCGATGGCCAACGGTGACCAGGCAGTGACGATGACCGGCAGTGACCAGGCAGCGGCGACGGTAGCTAGTATAATAATAGATGTGTTCTCATACAGGCTGGTTTCTGCATAGGAACTCTAGCTTTATTATGTACACGACTCAAGTTACTAAATAAATACTCTCTTTGACTACCTAAACTTAATTCTATGACTATATATTATAGTTATGGAGTATATGTTCAGAGAACAGCTAATACTAAGAAAAATGCAACACTAAGACTGTCAATTGATGCAAATTTCAGAATATGATGGTATTAAATCCCATTTCACCCTCTGTCATGGATGATAGGATTCAATAAGTCAGTGTATCAACATCACAAACCATCCATGTCATTGCCAACATTTCTCATGAGCAAATGATTCAAATGCATCAGTATTCAACCTTGAAAAATATTCAGCTACGACATTCAATCACCAGAAGTTACCACAGGAGCAGTTCCCACCATGGAAATGGTGGAATCTCAAGTTATCCCTTACAATAATTACCCTTCCTGTGATTTGAGATACACCACATATAAATGAGTGGCAATCTTCACATATTCTTATATTCTTCATAATCCTAATAGGGGAATCAGTACTTATACTGAGTAGCCCAAATGCTAGAGCTAGCTTCTCGCTATGAGCCATTAGTATCCACCTCTTGTCTTCATCATTCATATCATAAGCAACAGAATTCATGTTCGGTTGGTAGCCAATAGCCTTTAACCTATTTAGAAGATCCTCAAGCACCTGTTTCATATCACCAGACCTTGGATGTGTCATGTCCCCAGCAAAGAACTCATGAATTACACCCTTCTCTGCTTCCAGCCAGCTACGTGCTGGATTTTTTCTCAGACCTTTCTCTCTCATCAGTTTCCTTACCCTTGAAACATCATTCCACTGCCCTGCCGAAGCATATATGTTAGAGAGCAAAATGTGGTTTCCAATAGTATCAGGTTCCAGCTCAAATAAATGGTTAGCAGCAATCTGAGCGATATCAGGATTCCCATAAGTGCGACATGCTCCAAGCAATGCCCCCCAAACACCCCCATCAGGCTCCACCGGCATTGTTTCTGCAAGGTTAAGCGCTTCTCCTAGCCATCCAGCTCGACCAAGAAGATCCACCATGCAAGCATAATGATCAACTCCTGGAGAAACCCCATATTCCTCCTCCATGGATGCAAATATTTGACGACCTTGTTCTACCATTCCTGAATGGCTACACGCTGTAAGCACTGCTATAAATGTAACCCTATTTGGTTTGATCCCCACTTTCACCATCTCATAAAACAATTGCAATGCTGCATTAGCACAACCATGCATAGCAAACCCTGCAATCATCGAACTGTATGAAAACACATTCCTTTCTTCCATTGCCTCAAAAACCTTATATGCATCCTCAACACTCCCACACTTCGAGTACATATCAATCAAAGCTGATCCCACCACAACACAATGACTAGGATTAAACCCCAAATTCCCAGCAATACCTCGAATCCAATTGGCATACTTTGCAGCACCTAATTGTGCACAAGCAGAAATAGCCCCAACCAACGTAACCTCATCCGTTTCCACCCCTTCATTTTGCATTCTCTCAAAAAACACCAATGCCTCTCTAGGCTTAGCATTCTGAGCATACCCTGTAACCATAGCCGTCCATGCCACCATATCCCTGAGAGGCAACTGACCAAACAATTCCCCTGCAGATTCCATATTTCCAATTTTCCCATACGCAACAATCAGCTTCGTCCAAGAAATCAAATCCCTTTCAGGCAAATCATCAAACACCTTCCTCCCACACTCCAAAAATCCTAATTTAACATACATTTCTATCAAGCTATTGTTAACATATAAATCAGAACCAAACCCACCAATCAAAATCGTCTGGGCATGAATTTGCCTGCCCAAATTGACATCAAGAACTGTACAACAAGCCTTAAAAAGAGCTGAAAATGTAAAAGAAACAGGCAAAGTACCCTCTTTTCTCATACAATTATAAACAGAAACGGATTCCTTAACAAGACCTTGTAAACAATATCCACGAATAAAAGCAGTCCAAAGAAAAGGGTTTGGGTATTGAACCTGGTCAAAAACAAGCTTAGCGTAATAATCCATGGGGAATTCCATTTTGGTGAGGATTCGTATGAGTTTGGTGAGGATATAGCAGCACTGCTCAAGGCCGTTTCGGAGAATGTGAGCATGGGTTTGTTTGATTTGGGTGAGGGAGGTACAGCCATTGAGAGTCGAAATGAGGTGGGATTCCAAATGATTGCGTTGGTTTTGAAGCTGAGAGAAGGGAACGAAAGGTTGGGTTCTTTGGGATTGGATTTGTTGCTGATGGTATTGAGAGAACTGTTTTGGGATAAAATTTAGAGGTGTTGTAGAGAAATTGCGGGAGATGTACATTACAGAGTTCAAAGAAAGTTTCTAGCTCCAAACCGCACGAACCAAAAGTACGGAATACAAATTGAACAACGACGGTGGCGAACGAGACCATGCCTTGTGGTGTTGGTTAATGGTAATTGGCAATTTTATATTTTTATTAATTTATTAACTTTTATTGATAATAAATCACGTCTCAAAGTCTATTAATAATAAAACTTAAAATGTCAAATCTTACTCGTTGTTAACAGGAAACTCAATTTTCTACTTATGAAAATAAAATTAAGTATTATATTACGATTAAGATAAGTATTATATTATAAGTAAAAGAATGAGATTGACATGACTTTAAAAATTTATTGAATATAAGGATAAAATCGAATAATATAACACATACCTCAAATTCGTATTATATATATATATATCTATATATATATTTTTATATATATCTAGTAAATAAATTTTTGATTAAATAATATAAATTATTATTTTAAATGAATTAAAATTAATATATTTTTATTGAATAATTATATATTAATATATATTTATAAAAAATTATCTAAATATATAAAATAAAAATAAATAAATAAATATTGATTTTTATTTTAAAAAAGCAATGAGTATAGACCACCCTTACTCCTTAAAACCTAACAAAAATGAAGATAAGAATAAATTTAAAATATCTATTGAATATAAGTATGAAATGAGTATAATACAAAAAACCAAAAATAAAGATGAAAAATGCTCTATCCACCCTATACTCTATCTATTGACATCTTTAAATAAAACTAATAATTTTAAAAATTAATAATTTTAAATACAACATGATTATACAACTTAAAAATAATATGAAAAAGATATAAAAATAAAATAATTTAAAATTGATAAAAATCATATATAAATTATGAAAAAAAATCTTTTGTGTTTAACATAATATGACATGATAATTTTATATTTTACATATGACAATTCAAAAAGGAACTGTTTCTCAGGCCAAAATGGCAATGGCAACAGCAACCTGCACTTTGGATAGTCCTTCCAGCATGTATCCTACCCGTCCCAACGTGTCAATGCCATAATAAACAAGTAAAAACTCTTCATACCTTAATGGAACTTCTTGACCATATAAACAGCTACTTGTCTTAGCATGTACATAATTTACATCCCTAGATGGAAAACTGGATGGTAAGCTGACAAGAAGACAGAAAAACTAGGGCCATGATTAAAGATGTCACTCCATTAGGTGAGGGGAAAAAAAAAAGAGCATCCTATTTCATCCTGTACTTTGGGCCACCATGGCTGTTTTGTGGAAAGTGGATCTACCTCGTTGTTATGGGTGTTTTCAATCAAGGTTGTCTACTTGAGTTGTTTTTAGACTTCCTTAACACTTCTTTAAGTACTCCGGCAATTCTCTCTGCCATGTGCTGTTCTAGAAACCTTTCTTTGACCCTTTCGTAGCCTCTCTTTCCGATCGTAAGCCTCCTCTCAACATGTGTAGCCAGTTTAACAACATTTTTTGCGAGCGGAGTAACCCCCTCTTTTCCAATAGGATGCAATAAACCTGTAGTTCCGTTCACTACTATTTCCGTGGTGCCTCCAGCAGCTGTTCCCTGTTTTGTATATAATAGGATGAAAATATAAAAAACCAGCTCCAGTGATTACTGGCTAGAGAATACAAGCAGTGAATGAGTTCCACATATTTTATTTATCATAAGCTCGTAAGCCTCACTAAAAATGTAACACCACGCAAAAGAAAATCAGGTAAAGTTAATAGATTACCAGTACAGGCAACTGAAATGCCATGGCTTCAATTGTTATTCGTCCAAAGCATTCTCCCCGTGCCTACACGTAAGAAAAACCTTATGTGATTCCTTTTCTGTCAAAGCAACTTTTAAGAAAATAACAGGGAGGTCTTAGCATGAAATGTAACACTAATCATGGACAAAACTGAAAGACAAAAAATTAGTAAAAACTCACAAGCCTAATGGAAGTCTGAAAAATTCAAAACCTTCACGTGCATCCCTTGATTTATTCTCAGTTGATAAGGTACCTATTCAAAGAAATGCGAGGTTCTCCACTCCCACGGATGAATAAAAAAAAGAAACTATAACCTCGAGGACAAAATTGTTCTATTTCCAATGAGATGCACATTCCTGACATCTGATTGTTCAATTTTGGTGACTTAGAATTTTGATTCTTCTCAGTGACGTCATGTGACTTAAACACTTCTAAGAACATCAATTGGAAAATGAACATATAACGTATGAATAATATTACTCTATCAGAAGTGCCAGCCCTAACCACCAGAAACCAATGTCATCAAGTCAATTATCAATGTTGTCAAGTCAACTACTGGTTAAGACTTATTATCTTAGGTATCAGCAAATGCTATGGTAAAAGGGCCTTCAATATCTCTGACTCTGTTCTATAGCTTCAAATATTAAACAGCCATAGGATTTAAACATATATTTAAGGTAGTATCTACTATTTACAGTAGGAATTAAAGACATACATCAATAAGATGACAAATTAGATGAATTTCATTTAAATTATATTGAAACAGAGAATGTTTTTTTTTAAAAAAAAATAACCTGGGAATTCTGAACAAGAACATCAATGGACGCTAAATATGGGGCTACTGTCAGAGTTTTGTTCACAAAGTGAACACGGTCTTGAATTTTCTTCTGCATTACATAATCTCGTAATTCCGTTTCAAATTTGGTCTGAGCACTCATGTCACTTCCCACAATTACTGCATGCAGTGGTGGCACCTGCATTTTCTTTGCCTTAATCAGTTGCAAGGCCTCATAGAAGGAACGCAGAAAAAGATCCTGCCCTTTACCTCGTGAAACACCTGCAGTTAAATATTAATTCAGTACTATTAGTGATGAATAGCAGAAAACCATAAGGCTTTTAGTTTTAGTTTCCCCATCTCTATACCTTCTTGTATTTGTCTTAGAAAACTATAAAATTGAGGGAGGGATAGGGCACAGTGAATGGGTGGTTAATGGAAAATAATGTAGTGATAATTCAGGGAAGAAAAGGAAAATCACTACAAAAAGTGGTCTAAAGAACCATACTACAGCTCTTAGAGCAGAACTCAAAATGCAGGAGTGTCAATCCATAACAATTGAATAAGCTACATGGACTGTTCTTCTTTTTTTTTTTCAAAAAGATAAAATGTCACCAAACAACATGATTGAGCACACAATGAAACAGCATAAATGGCATGAAATGGAATTCACCAATTAATTTCACAGTCAGAATAATTATACGATTGCCAAACCTGATTCTAACAACCCTCCTCTTATCAAACTGAAATAAGGATCTTTTTTTGGTTTCATGGCATAACTTCATGCAAATAAAACTAGGTGCATTGATTGGAGGAAAATGAAAAAGAAGGGAAAAATCTATTCAAGATGAAAACCCAAAAGCATACTATTTATCAAGGCAAAGAGTAAATCCTCATTGCGCACTCCAAGAGATTCACGAACATGTTCACGCAAAATCCTTTTAGCCACACTGTCTTCGGCAACTTGCATCAGTTCCTTGCTATTGCCAAGGTGAACAACATAGGTCTCAGGCATTTTAATCCTGCAAAAGTAAATAAATGAAAAAGAAGAGAGGATCAAATTTGTCATTAAAACTTAAGATAGGTAAAATGTATGTATCAATTGAGGAACTAAATGTGTGAAAAAGTTGTTTGGATTTCTGTTGCTATGTATATAGAATGAATATTAATATTTTAAAGCAACAATAAGCCCAGAGAGTAGAAATGAGGATTTTAGAAGCTTACTTTAAACGCTCTTGAGTCCTATTCTTCCAGTATTCTGCTGTAACATGTGAATCAATCATGGCACCAGCTACAAAAGGAAGATGCTTTACATAGTCTAATTTGAAGTAATGGCCTCGCATTTCATGGATCCACCACAACACCTTAGGGAGAACACGATGAACATCTTCCTTAAGAACAGCATCCAGCCATTTCCCAGCAACCGCAGTGTTCAAAACAACCAAATCAGCTCTCAGAGCAGTGTTTATAGCCTCTTTTCCCTTTGCAGAGAAAACCTGAAAATACAGGTAAAAGCCTAATTAGAAGCAAGGTAAATATTTACAATGCAATCATCTAAGCTTTCACAAATAGAATGCTAGTCCATCATATTGAGTAACATAAAGTTGCACCATTATATAGCAAAAGCAGTATAAACAGATAAATAACCAAATTGTAATAATCCAGAGAACTTACAACCTGAACCCCTCTGTCCAACATCTTATGTTCTAAACTATATATTACTTCATCTGTTTCAGATGGTTTCAGAATTGTAATCCAATAAACTTCAGCACCAACACTTCTTAATAGAAATGCCAGCTCCATCAACAACAATGGTCCACCTGGAAAAAGAAAAGGAAACATTATAAAAAGAAATAAAGATGACAGAATTGAATTCTAAATAGCCTCTTTACAAGGAAAGATGATAATAACAACTGTCTTCAGAAATAAGTTTTCTTTACTTCTAACCAATAAAACACATCTTCCAGTAAAGATTAGTCTAAGAAAAAGACATATACCAGTGAAAATAGAGTAGCAAAACCACAATTTAGACATCAACATGAGTGAGCAAGCATTGACCGCTGAAAGCAATAGACATTACTTTATAACTGAAGAATTTGATGATTTGGTAACAAAAAATTTTCACACAAGGTGATGACAAGGACAACTACGCATCGTACAAGAACATGAAGATTCTTTATATGCACAAAACATTTATAGCACATGTTAGCAAAATGCCAAAAGTACATTCTATAATAAAACGCAGAATACCTAGGAATCAAAATGAATTTAAGAACCTACGACATTATCATCCATAAGAACAAAAGGATAAGTCATTACTAACATGTCAACAGAACCTCCAAAATTGATTAAACCTTGAGATATTAGCACACTGGTGGAATGCTTTTCCTGAGCCTCAAAAATAGCATAACTTGATAAAGGGATTAAATTAAGATGAAAAGGGGCCCTAATGCACATATGGTTTTTTATTAAAATTTTGCAATGAAATTCAACAGAGATCCTCACATGCTTTCCCGCATTCAATGTTAAAGAAACTTAAAGCAAATGATTTGCTGACCATGAAAACCATGATATTAAATCTGACATTCCGCAAATAGTAATTAATGCATATGCAAATGCATCTTATATTAATTACTTCAATCAAAATAAGCCCAACATATTAACTGTAAATCCTCTGCTAGTTCCTCTATACAATATCAAATCTCATTTTACTTATATCCATGGATAGATCTATAATTCTGCAATGACTGCTAGAGACAATGCAAAAAGGCCACCTCAAAGCTACTTCCACATAAATTCGTTTCTTTTGCAATACTAATACTACTTCAACGGAAACAATCGTACAGTAAAATAAACCCTAACAAGTCACTTTACAGTAAACCTAGGCAATTAAAACAAACTCCAATACATCGAAATTCAACCGCAAAATTAGAAATTAATTCCAAAACCACTGAAACGCACCAACGATAGCTATTAACATAAAATGGAGAGTACCAGAAAGCGAGAGCTCGTGCGACACGAGTAGAACAATCTTCGACTTCATAAAGCTGAGTGGACTCGGCTTTGCAGCAGGGACCATAGAGGCTCGCTTCTCGGCTAGTTGGATGGCATTCCGAGCGGAACCGATAACATTATCAGAGGAAACAGCACCAGAAACGCTCCGGTCACAGGAATCGAAGGCGGCTCTAATGAAGAAGGCAATAACCGTCGAAACAGAGAGCATTAAGAGAAGAGCTAAAAGCCAGCGTTTCTGTATGTGGTGGTGGCCCCAGCCGACGGCGACGGATGTGTGCTTCGCCATCCTTTTCTTCTTCTTGTCTCTTTAATTTAGAGTTAGGATTAGAGAGTGAGGGATCAGAGTATGCTTGCTTTGGCATTTGAGGGCTTTGTTTGAGCAACTGAAGATGTACATTTGGCTAATTGGAAGAAAGTTTTTGGGTTTGGATTTTGGATCCTTCTCTGATTTTTACTGGTTTTCGTGTTCGAAGCGTTGGAATCTGTGGGGGATTTGTTAACTTTTTGGGTTTTTTTTGGAAAAACAAATGAAATGATTTCAATGGCTTCTGTACTGCGTAGTGTTGTGTGTTTAAAGCTCTCTTTTAAGTCTAACAAATCTGATTAGGATTAGTTAGTATTCCAAGCCTGGTAGCCAGCAACCACTCAACCAGGCTAGGCCAAAATTTATATTTTTTGAATTAAAAAAATTTTTAATTATTTGAATGAGTTAATAAAAAATATTTTTAGTTATTTGATTATCTTTTAAAAAAAATTTTAATAATATTTATTAATATATTATATTAATAGTATATTATTTATTAATAATATATTATTTATTCATATATTATTATAATATTTATTAATTAAATTAATAATATTTGTTATATTATTTATTAGTATATTATAATATAATATTATTTATTTATTAATATAATATTTTTTTAAGTATAAATTATGCTTAAAATTACTTCTCTTTTTAAATCCGTAAAATAATTTTTTAAAAAATAGCTTCATGTTTCATTAATTAGTAAGTCATTTTCTGTTAACTAGTCAATTTTTTATTAAATAAATACCTAAAAATATAAAAATCATTTTTCACAAAACAAATAGAATATAAATATGATTGCAACTTTAAAATTTTCTAATAAGTATCTTAATTGTGAATTTATTAATTAATATAATACTTACATAATTAGCTTCAAATCATACATGTGATGTATAAATAATTATTTAAATATTATATTAGTTAATAAATTTATAGTCTAAGTATCATATTAAAAATGTTTAAAATTTAAATATCATATTAAATACTTTATTATAATTTAAAAATTAATCATAACATTATCACATATAAAAAACGAAATTTTGATTTAAAATATAATATACAACTATTATCAAGTCAACTTTTTATTTCTTTTCTTATCATAAATAAAAAAATTCAAAAAATTCAAATCAAATCTAATTATATTTTATTAAATTTTTATAAGATAAAAATAATTATTTATATTTAAATTTATTATAAATAATATGAAAATAATAGTAAAAAGTTTTAAAATAATTTTTAAGAATTGAATCAAAATGAACTGATAAAATTTTAATTAATTCAATTTTTAAAAAAATTAATTTGAATTCAACTCAATTTTTTAAATTTAAAATATTATACATTAATCAAATAAATTTGAACTGTTTAATTATAATCTTACACTCTCAACCTTAAATTTCAACTAACAATAACTAAAATTGATTGTCAAAAAATTATTGTTAATAAAAAATAAATCCGTGCGTCATTGCGAGAATTGTTAAAAAATTTAAAATATGCATTTATATAATTCAATGCTAAAAATATAATTATAAAATATAAAAAAAATTGTATAGTGTAATCTTAAGATATAAACTTTTTTTCAAATATAATTCAATGTTAAAAAAATATATATAAACTTTAATAAAGAAGGTGATTCATATCATAACAACAATTTCTGCTTCTACTTTATCATCTAAAATACCATTAGAGAATGTGTGACCAAAACACATTGTGTTTGTACCATCGAAGAAACTATATAACAATTACGTAGCATTCAAACCTCATAAACTTATGTAAAACCCTTATTGCTTCTCATCTTGTAATATTTAAAAGATGCAACTTGAAATGATTAATTTCTATCATTAAAAGGAAAAAAAAAAGACACAAAAAATCAAACCCTTAAAAGAAACTATTAATGACAAATTACAACTTACCAGCTCTACTGCCCCTAAATAAAATCATAACCTTATTGTTTATTAGTACTAAGCAACCTTTTGCTTGAAATGTGAAAAATAATAAGAATTTATCATTTTTTATCTATTAAAACCACAAGGATCAAAGAAGTACTTCAATTTGCATAAAGCTATATCAACAAACACACAGTAAAAAAAGTAAGAAATATATAAGGCAAACATAAAAATGTGAGTGCCACAGATTCCTAACTATTCATTCTTAAGAGTATGATATATTAACAAATTCAAGCTAAACAACTACTAATTTAGAGTAAAATTATTTATCAATTTAAACAAAATCATCTAGAATTTCAGACATATTAGCTAACATGTATCGACAAGCATAAAATTTTAGGAAAAAAATATATACAAATATAAATATACCAAAACAACTCTAACTACATAAACTTATTACATACCTAGCCATTTATAATTGAATTATATATAGAAATCTTCAAGCACTTAACAAACTTTAATTGTGTTAGAGAGATATCCATGAAATATAAAACTAGGAAACCTAACATACAAAATCTCAATTTTCACATGAATTGAACCAAAACAAATAAAAAATCTAAAATAAAAAAAAAGTGAAAATTATGATTTGGGTTAGTTAAGGTGCACAGGTTGTAAGTCCAAAATTTGCAGTAGTATGCTCATCATTTTATTTTTCAATTGAAATATTACCTTTTTTATAAAGGGTATAAGCCCAAAATTCAGCTATCTTCTCATCTTTTTTTTCCTCGTTCTCTCATACAACCTCCTAAAGTCTTTTTTTTTTTCTCCAAACCCTATTAACTTAATCCAAAACCCGGTGAACCCACTATAATCGGTGCAGATGCTCACTACTATTGGTTGTCATTGTTTCCTTATTTCTCTTCTCATTTCCTTCTTCTTTTTCTTACATTCTTTCTAAAACATCAAACAACCTCAAGAACAAAAATAAAAAAAAAAAATTGGTTGATTATTATACGGCCTGAAATCTCCTAGCTATTTACCTTTATTTTTTATTGTCGATACCACATAAAACCACACAAGATCTACTATCTCTTTTCTACAAGCTAAATGACCTCAAATACCTAAAAATTTCAAAAGAAAACCCAAAAAATTGATGCCCACCAAGGAACCAAATACCTAGAAATTCTAAAGGAAAGCTTAAAAATTGAAGCCATTTAAGGTTTTTTTTTTATATTTTCACTATTGTGAATTTGCATATGATTGTGTTAACTGCTTAATTATGTTATCTTTGTTGGGTGTATTTGCTCTAAGTTCTGATTTGATTATGTACAGGGTTTGGGTTTATCTCTATATTGTGAAAACTAAGTCGATTGAGCTTACTATGTGTTAGTTTGATTTTTTGAATTTTCCTTGGGTTTTAAGTGATTTCACGGTTAGGTGGGTATGAATTTCTTTTTTGGTTTAGGTGACTTATTTAAGAATTGTTTGAGTTAGGATGAAGAGTTTAAAACTTTCTAGAACATTTTAATGTAAATTTTTATTCCAAAATTACCCCTCAAGTTATTTTTAAAGACAACAATAATGTGCTACTAAATTGTTAAGTTAAGAAGTTGGGGACTATTTTATTTGTTCGTTATAAATTATACAATTTGAACAAATATGATTAGTGTTTTTTAAATATAGATTAGTACTTTTATTTTATGATTAAAATTTACCCTTTTAATGTCTATATTAAAAAAAATCAAAATTCACTCTCTTTTAAATTAATTATATAGCAAATCTTTTTCTCTTTCCAACTTTAACAATATGTTTTAGTAGAGTTCTAATTTTATTTTCTCATTCCAATCTTTTGAATTTTTTTTTATCTATTTTTAACTCCAAATTTATATATGTTTAACTTGTATGCATCTAAATTCTCTTGAACTCATAATTTTCAAAAACCTGGTCATCATACATGTCATATGAACCAATACTCAGTTGATTTTTTTTATTGAAAGAATAACATTGGAACTCAAAAATCTTATATTTTTCACTTTTTTTTGTTTTTTATTCATATAAATTAATTTGTATGTTACTTAAAAAGTAGAATTAATTAATTTTTATGTTACTTGAGAAGTAGAACTCTATTGTTTATGATTATTATTTGAATCCATACTTTTAATTTAACAATATATTATTTTTATTTGCAAGATTCTAAGAACGTGGCACATGTACTTTGAATGAAATTTATTTTATTGTGGTAAAATTTAAAAACTCTTATACCTTTTTTAATTTTTTTTGACATGTGTTCCATTGAACCAATATTTCTAAAAGTAAGAAATTTAATCTTAACCTTTTACTTTTCACAAATGTTATTGATTTTGTTTTTTTTTTTTTCTTTTTGTTCTTTGATTTCCTTTCGATTATATTTTTTTTACCCTTTCCATTCAATAAATCATTCAAGTTGGAAAAATGTTGATTTCATTTAAGAACTTCAATCCTTTTACCTTTCATCTTTTATTGATTCTTTTAACTTTTTATTGATTTTCTAAGAAAATTAATAATAAAAAGGATTACTTTAAATGGAAAGAAAGGGTCAGCTTTTAAAAACCCTTTCAATTAATTTTCTTAGGAACTTGATCTCAATGGTCAAGCCTTTCTCAATCAATGGTTTGATCGTTCACTATTGGTCACCCTTTCTTAATGGTTTAATGTCGGCTTCAACAATCTAGTGCAAACAAATCATTTAGTTTTCTTTTTTAATATAACTTCTTTTATTTTTAATTATGCTTTTTATGAAATTAATTGAATGGGTTTTTGAGATAGTAGACAAATAAAAGACAATATCTTAACACATATATTATGAAAGATAATAGAGATTGAAGAATGCTAAAAGGGTATCAGTAAGGCATTGTCAATTCATATCTTAGATACAGATATATTAAGAGAGATACTAGATGCATGTAGTCATCATGCCCCCATGACATCATCACATTGTTAAGTATATATTCCTCTGAGTACACTCTACATTTAGTGTTGTAGATAAAGTTGTGAATTAGGATTTTCCTTAAATATTGTACCAACAATATAATAGAATCAGAATTTATAAGATGTAGGGATTTTGTTAGAAATTTAAAGTAATGAATTATTTGTAAACTTAATTCTTTTTTTAAATAGAAGTTTCAAATCTGTAAAGAATTACCTTTTGGTGAACAATTGATTTGTTAAAAGTACAACCAACATGTTATGAGTCACTTATGACACCAAGGATCATGAATAGAATTTAGTAATATGATTGGTTAATTGGGGATGACATTATCTTTATTTTTATTAGTGTAGTATATATACTATTATAGATGTAGTAAATAACGTGAACTTCTTGATATAGTATATAAGATTCACTTACAATAACCTATTAG